CAGGTTTGTCCTCTCTTGTTACTGATTTTGCAAGACGGGGTGAAAGATTTATCTATTTCTTATTTTTGTGCTACTTTTCAACTGTAGCACCAGGACAATTTACAACAACAAAACAAATACACATGTACAAAAGAAATGAAGTATATTATAAATAATAATAAATATTACAAGTAACACATTATAACAGGAATAATAACTGTTTGAGGAATCGACTCATGCTGATGGGACTTGTCAATCAAGGAATTTTGGCTAGCCGGGTCCATGAGAAGAACCTTTACTGCTATCCTTTAAAATATCTTACTCCCTGAGATGAGATTGGCTTCCACCCTCCTGGTTTTTCATAAGAGCCTTAAGAGGTGGTATTCAGCAGGTTCTGACCAGTTCTGGAGAACCGGTAGTAGAAATTTTGAGTAGTTCGGACAACCGGCAAATGCCACATCTGACTGGAGACTTTACAGTGTCCTTCCCTTGCCATGCCCACCAAGCCGCGCCCACAGAACCGGTAGTAAAAAAAAAATGAATCCCACCACTGGACCAGATAGCCTGAGGATCCAAAGGGGGAGCTTCATAATGGAGGTGGTTGACTAATTAAAACATAATCCCATTCCTCCCTCTCTCCCCCCCCTCATGTGTCCAGTTCCCCCCTTTGCCATCTTGTGCTAATGATTTTATCTGCTGTGTAATTTTCTAATTGATGAATTTAATGTTTTTGTTGTCATGCTTTTATGTTGTAAGCTGCCCAGAGCCTTTGGATACGAGATAGGTGGAAAATCTCATCACAAATAAATAAATAAAATAGAATAAAATAAAAACAGGAGCACCCAATGGAATTAGGATGGCATAAAAAGACCTCTGCATAGGTCTTTTTATGCCCTCCTAATGGCATTCACCTGCACAGGTGAAATCCTCTGGGGAGCATTCTGTAGATAGCATTATGAGAAAACTTGTTCCCTGAACATCTGTATCTTTCCATTTATGATGCACCCAAATGTTGCTGAAACTGCAGTTGAGAAATAATCCTTCTGCCATTTTGGGCTTGGAGTAGGGGAAAGTAGTACAAAAATGATTACAGATTTATCCTACAAATGATGGTGTGGGCACTGAAGGTGATACATTTTGTACAAACGTGCATAGCATTAGATGAATCAGAAGCATTAACTTTCTTGCTAGGAAATGGGCAGCATTACCTGACAGATTTTAATTCAGACAGGATCAAGATTATAGATGCATATAGTTCAAAAAACTCAGAAAGGAACAAATTCGATACCAGAGGAGAGGACTTAGAAAAGCAAAGAGAAAGAACAAGGAATCCCTGGGAGTTAGTTAAGACTGATGGTGAAGCAAAGGGGAATTGAGAAGATAAGGAGGATAAAGAAGGAATTGTCGACAATTACCTTCAAGACAATTCTGGGAAAAAGGCAGGGCAAGGAGAAGACATGCCAACTTTTGAAGGAATCCGTTACGCAGGTCAAAACTCATAAAGACATAGGCTCTTTTGTACTGACATTCATCCATCAAGAGCAGGGGTGTCAAACTCGATTTCATTGAGGGCCGGATCAGGGCTGTGTTTGATCTCAGGGGGCTGGGGAGCATGGCCAGGGTGGGCCTCACTAGCTTGATGTCACTCATCAAGGCTCCATTTTTGGCCGTAACAGCCTCCTGGAGCTCTCTGCCAGTGAAAACAGAGCCCAGGGAGTCACACGTGGCCTCCCTGAGCTCCATTTTCAGTGGGACAGGGTTGCAGGAAGCCATTGTGGCTGAAAATAGAGTCCTGACACATGGCCCTCCTGAGCTCTGTTTTCGCTGGCAGAGTCACTGTAGGCCGGTCCTTCACTGTTTGCAGGGCAGCCCCATGGGTCAAGTCTAAGCACCCCACAGGCCAGATCTGGCCTGCGGGCCTTGAGTTGGACACCCCCTGATCAAGAGTAACTGGAGCAGCTCTCCAAGGTTACAGATCAGAGTTTTGCTAGTCATATCTGAGGGTGCCAGGGATTCTTGACCTCTGCCCCTTTCCCATGTCATGTAATCATCGGCTTATCTTGTTCCATGCCATCTTTTCTTCCCATGTCACAGTCTATAACCAAGTCCACAATAAATGTATACAGGGAGCAGGTAAACTGAATCACAGATCAGAACTGAACACTATTCGTCTTAGCATCCTTTTTTGGGCCTAAACTACATGTGAGTAGGGAAATGTGGATTGCAGTATGGCCTCCTTAACTTCTTTGCATAAAAGGCTGATAAGGGGTAATGGTGGTTTATATTTGGACCAGAAAATTGAAGGAGGGAAAGGATTTAACCCTTTATTCTACAGCTATGCCCACCCCACCTTTAGCCGATTTGCTGTTAGTTATAGAGAAGGAAAGACATTCGTCTCTGTCTTTGTCTTCCATAATAGTCCCAACAGATTTGGGAAGAGGATGATTTGAATTTGGGTACCAGTGTGGGAGGAGGATTAATACTCTTCAGTTTCTTTTAAACAAAGTAAAAAGGATGCTAGAAGATCCTATTCCCATCGGCTATCCTGTCTGGCCCTTGGCCTCCCCAGCAAAATTATCATGTTGCTTTTGAGCAGTCAGTACTTATCTAACAGAAAGACTTACCTGTTTATAAAGATCAGTTAACACAGGTAGTCCTCGACAAACGATCGCAGTTGAGCCCAACGTTTATGTTGTTTAGTGAGAAATTTGTTAAGTGAGTTTAGCACCGTATTACGACTTTACTTGCCACATTTGTTAAATGAATCCCTGCGGCTGTTAAGTTAGTAACACTCTTGTTAAGTGAATCTAGCTTCCCTATTGACTTTGCTGGTCAGAAGGTTGTAAAAGGGGATCATGTGATTCCAGGGACACAGCAACCGTCATAAATATGAACAAGTTGTCACGCATCCAAATATAAGTCATGTGACCATGGGGAATGCTGCAATGGTTGTAAGTGTGAAAAATGGTCATAAGTTGTTGTTTCTTCAATGCCATGTTAAGTTTGAACGGTCGCTAAATGAACTGTTGTAAGTCGAGGACTACCTGTATAATGTTTCCAAATCAACATGTATTGCCCTTAATGAATGGTAAGGCATTAATGTAGGTGCTTCTATATCCTACTGATCTGTGTATTATAACAAAATAAACCCAGAGATGTCTACCATTGCTAAAATGAGGGTATATCTTGATGATGTATACTGAGAGTATTTACATCAAGACAAATTCCTTGTGTGTCCAATCACACTTGGCCAATAAAGTATTCTGTTCTGTTCTGTTCTGTTCTACTCTACTCTACTCTATTCTACTCTCTTCTGTACCAGAAGAGTAAGTGAAACTGATAGTTTGTAAACTGATGTTTACAGGTATTTTTAAAAAAAAAATTCAAAAAGTGATTGCCAATATAGATTAATGAACAAATACCAGTAAAATGTGTTCCTTCTTCTCTGGAATCCAATGCAAACCCCTCTCTCTCTCTCCCCTCCCCCCCACTTTCTGTATGTGTCTGTGTGTGTAGAACATGTGTTTTTCTGTCAGTTTAATCCTGCTTTCAGCCTGCTCTTAACTATTAATAATTCACATTTTTATTTATTTTTATTTGTCAATCGCTTACAAAATAATAGGTATAAGTATAAACATGAATAAGAATACAGAAAATAGGTATGATTAAAAGGGAACAATAGGACAGGGACAGAAGGCACGATGGTGCACTTATGCACGCCCATTATTATTGTTGTTGTTGTTGTTGTTGTACACAAAAATGACAGTATACACAGCAGATGAGATAACCATTCTGGGTTTCGTATCACAAATCACTAGTCGAACACTTCCCAAGTGTTTAGGACTGTGTGATGTATCGGCAGATTATGCGAGCAGATCCCATTAAGGTGGCCTTCTGCAGCTGACCAATAGTGATCTTGTCAGCGCCAATTGTTTTTAAGTGCTTGCCTAGGTCTTTAGGCACAGCACCCAGTGTGCTGAGCACCACTGGAACCACCTGCACTGGTTTATGCCAGAGTCTCTGCAGTTCGATTCTCAAGTACTGATATCTGGTGACTTTTTCAAGTTATTTCTTGTTGATTCTGCTGTCACCAGGTATGGCAATGTCAATGATCCACACTTTTTTCTTCTCCACAATTGTAATATCCGGGTTGTTGTGTTCAAAAACTTTATCAGTCTGTATTCGGAAGTCCCACAGTAGTTTTGCATGCTCATTTTTGACCACTTTTTCAGGCTTATGATCCCACCAGTTCTTTGCTACAGGCAGATGGTAGTTGTGAGACAAGTTCCAGTGGAGTTCCTGAGCGACTGTGTTGTGACGTTGTTTGTAGTCAGTCTGAGCTATTGTCTTGCAACAGCTCTGTATGTGATCAATGGTTTCGTCTGCTTCTTTGCATATTATTATTATTATTATTATTATTATTATTATTATTATTATTATTATTA